ATGGAAGCCGGCAGCACTGCAGGATTAGAGGCACACAGGGGGTCCTAGGCAGCAGGGGGAATGTATAATGCACAAAGAGGGTTTTGGGTGCAGCGGGGGCTATTACTGGAACAGATCCCCTGTATGGCTCTCTCTGCAGCAGCTAATATCCAGTGGGATGGAGAGGAGAAGAAGAGAGACATACCGGGGATCTGTTCCAGTAATTGCCCCCCACCAACCATGCTGATCACCCTCCATGCCCACATCCAATTCACCCAGCTTCCTGGGCCCCCTTGCTGTTCTGGGCCCAGGAGGGCAGGTGGTACCCCCTTATCCACGACCCTGGTCTTGACCATAATGAAAGAAAATAGTTAGAACCACTAAACATTTCTTTTAATTCACACATGTAACCTAAACTTAATTCAGAATATCACTTGATTAGAGGATTTGAAGTATGATTACCTTATCTTTGGTTAGGATTGCCATAGTGCACATTGCAGGCCTTTTGTTAACACATTGAATTGTTTGGACACTGTGGACTTACAGCTCTGCATACTAATATGAAATCATTTTACATTTATAGTTGACAGCTTGCTGCCTGCCCACAGTACATTTACAGCAGACGGGTGCCACAGCCAGCCTGGATCATGTACATGTAAGTCTTCCAGTTTCTTCCGGGTTGAGGCGCGTGCATGCTGATCCGAGCTGTCACTTGCTACAGAGCAATTTTGTCAGCATGTCCCAGCCAACGATTTTTGCCATGGAACTGCTGATTGGCTGTAGCCAATCAAATAACAGAGTCTTGTATTTACAAACACACAGGACTCTGTACATAGAGCAGCAATCTGGCTGTTTCTTCTCCCTGTAAAGTAGGGAGAAAAAACAGCCAGATCTGCAAATAAAAGCAGCACATTTTACACACAATACACTTGTTATGCACACAGTTCACCTCTTGATTACCCGTAGATGTTAACCCCTTTCCAGCCAGTGTTATTAGTACAGTGTCAGTGTACATTTTTATATCTGATCACTGTATTAGTGCCACTAGTGACATCATTAGTGACAGTTAGTGTACCTCCCAGTCTGTTAATGCCAGATTGCCCACCACACTATCACAGACCCACTATAAGTCTCTGATCACTGCCATTTCCAGTATAGCATCATAGCTGTGTAAATTCTAGTATATATACCATAGTTTGTAGATGCTGTAACTTTCATGCAAACCAATTAATATACACTTATTGGGATTTTCTTTTTCAGTGGTATGCTACATACGCAATGAAATGGTAACTTCACAGAACATATAATCCAAAATAGCACTTGTACCATCAATGTGTGGATACATTCTGGTAGAAATATAATCACCCGGGGCAGTTATCAGAAGATTAAATAAGCCAGAAGTGGACATGGAGCCCAAGCTGCCATAAGGCTAGTGTAGAAAGGTTGAGGGGGTCTGTTTGGGTGTGTTGTGTAAGCACTCACCCTGTAATGGAAGAGAGTCCCTACAGTTTCCAAAAGAAGTTCCCGGTAAATGGAGGAAGTCTAATTATTATTAATATTATTATACAGGATTTATATAGCGCCAACAGTATGCGCAGCACTTTACAATATAAGGGAGACAGTACAATTACAATACATTTCAGTACAGAAGGAATAGGAGGGCCCTGCTTGTGGAGCTTACAATCTAAAGTCTAATGCAGGGCACTCAACTAAGGTATAAGTGTACCACTTTTTAGTATGTTATTATAAAAGAGAGAGAGGAAAGAAAAAAGGAAGGAAAAGAAGAAAAAAGGGGGGTTAAGGGAGGGGAAGAGAGGGAGGTTGTATGGGAAGAAGAGTTCCCCCTGGTGAGTAGAGGACTACAGTGCAAAGCTTGCAGAAGGAGTCTCAAGGTCTCAAGCACAGAGCAAAAGCTATACATTTTTATTATTATTGTACAGGATTTATATAACGCCAACAGTTTGCGCAGCGCTTTACAAAATGAGGGAGACAGTACAATTACAAAACATTTCAGTACAGAAGGAATATGAGGGCCCTGCTCGTGGAGCTTACAATCTAAAGGAGGTATTCATCCGAGAAGCAGAAAAGGTCCCACTAAAACCATCTGGTCTTATGTTCTTCTGATTTGTCCCGAATAGCAGAAGTCAGATCTTCCATCTGTTCAATGTCATCCACTCTTGCCAACCATTGGGCCACGGTATGAGCAGACTGTTGTTTCCATTGGCTCAGTATCTAAACCCTCACTGCATTTAAAAGGTGTTTAAGAAGAGATTTGTGATAGCGCTTCTTCAACATGGGAGTGAGATTAAGAAGGACTGCAGCTGGGTCGTTACATAGAAAACGTCTGTAAAGCAATATTTTTTTTACCAAAGGCGTAACAGAATACATTTTGGCCTAAATTTATGAAGAAATTTTATTTTTTAATTTTTTAAAAAAAATTATGTGCTATCTTTTTTCGTTTATATAATAAAAAATAAAAACATTCAGTGGTGATCAAATACCAACACACTATTTGTGTGAAAAAAAGTACATACATTTCATTTGGGTACAGTGTTGCACGACTGAGCAATTGCCAATTAAAGTAGAGTAGTGCTGAATAGCAAAAAATGCCATGGTCATGAAGGGGGTAAAACCATCTGGAGATCAAGTGGTTATACAAACATTTTTTGCTGTTACTGTTTTCCACTTTCTGGTTGAGTGAGGCACTGGTGATGTATCCCTGACCTCACAGCTGCATCTTGAGAAATTCATGTCACATGTTCCAATAGACCCAAAGTTCTAGATAGAGTTCCATGAGGTAAAGGCAGATGGATTCATCTGCCCTCAGTAAAATGGACACCATGAGAAGAAAGGGGAGAAAAAGAAAAAAAAGGCATGCAAAGATATCCAAATATGTATCTGTTTGTGGATTGCCATTACTAAATATTTTCTTCTTGTTTTTACGATGAGGGTGAAGTTCCTCTTTAATATGAAAGGACTAGCACCATGGCACTTTATATTTATATTTCAGCATTTGATTTATATTTTATTGTGGATTAATTATCTTATAATTTTGCACACTTAGCATTTTATAATCATATTTTTGGTGGATCAGATATCATCACAGAGTGAACATATTCTTATGTATATATATTTGTCATTTGGGATGTCATATGTATTTTTGATGATTATTTTATGATATTTATTTGGAGTTTAGCACTGTTGATTGAGTTAATTTAAAAAAAAATGTAGTTCCCTTTATTTGTCCCTCTTATCATGTATGCCCAAATGCTTATTTTTTGCAATATATGAGTGTAAACGAGTTGAACCAATGAAGCAAAAATGCCTACTGTTTGCAGCTGGATGTACGCTTTGTATTTTTCCATCTCATTAGATAAGGATAGAACAAAGGGCTATCTATAAAATGTGTCATGCTGAATTTCAGTACTGTTCGCTCCAAACTCTATCCATACGTGCTAATTAGAGTTTGTTTTATTGTAAAATCTTACCTTGAAAGTGGCAGTTTAATCAAATTTGCTTTCATAAAATAAAAAACCTGTGTAAAATGAAGCAATGCTATAACAAGCCTATCATGGCAAATGGAACAAAGAAAAAAAAAAGCAGAAAAGATGCCGTTAGCAAGAAAATTATAATAGAAATGTCAAATGCAGATAATGCCAGTAGGTAAGGGCAGGGTCACCGAGGTAGAACAGGGAAAGGGCAGAGATTGGACCCAATAAAATCAATAAAATTAATATGAAGAAAGAAAGATAGTAGAAAGCAGTCGGTGATAAATTGGAAAGCTACAGAAAATGGTTCGAGAAAAAGTAAGGTTAAACCTGATATAAAAAGAAACATGAAACATGCAATGGAAAAATGTGAGAAGATTCTGTTCTATGACAATATACTGCAAGATAAGAAGAGAAGACGATGAAAATAGCTAGAAAATAGAGAGATTCATTTACGTGGAATTCCATTTGGCTACGTGATGTGGCAAAGTGCCAGTCTACTGTAAATTGAAATGCTGCTGTTTGAAATACCCACCAACTTCTGATCATAAATGAACCAACTTCTGAAAAGTTTAAACAGTCGTGGTTCACCTAAACTTTTGAAAAACTTACAAGACCCTAAAATTCAGAATGTAAACCAGGTTCAAAAAAGTGTGTGATATAGTATGCTATACAAGAAGGCATGTGCAGAATGGTTTGGGACGTTCGTGGCAGCCTTTGAGATGATGAGTCCAAGAAAGTAAAATTGGGACCTAGGCTGGGGAAATCACAAAGTCCAGCTGCAAATCCTAGCAGTGGAAGTACAAGTTGTCACCAGGCAGCTCCTGCTGTTTTTACACTATAAACGCTAAAGGTAGACTTTTATTTTTTTCTGATTTCTTTGTCCCAGTAATCTGTGTAAATGAACCCCTTTTAGACAAGCACACTTTAGATTTAAAAATGAACTTTGGGTATGGATATTTTTACATAATTACATTGGTGTAAATATACATATACCATACCTGTGGGATCCCTACATTACCATAGTAGTACTATACTCTCCACTAGCTTCCGGGACCCATGCCAAATTCTCCTGCTGCATTGTGAAGCAAGGAGGTCACCTGCTTGGCATGGGCACTATTAAGAGATTGCTTTGCATTTTCTTAATGATCACAAAGCATTCTCTAATTGGACCAGGTGAAGGGGTGGGTGATGACATCACACTCTCCACCTACTCCAGTTAAAACACACTGAAAAATGCTAAATATTCTCTGCATGCTAATGGTAGTGGTGTCTACTACAGTGATTTCCAGCTTCTAAAGGGATTCCATGGGTATGTTATATGCATAGTTACTTGATAGAGCAATGTAACTATTTAAAATATCCTTACCTGGAATTTTTATTTAACCACCTCCTGCCCACCATATAGTCCAATGACGGGCGCAAGGTGGTTCTCTCGTTCTGATAGGCCGTCATTTGACGGCCTTCCATTCTCACCGCGCATGCGCGACTCAGCGAGTGCGCAGCGCGGTGATCGGCGGTGCTGTGTCCCTTGGACACAGCAGATCACCGATCCACGGAAAGAGCCAAAGATGACGGCTCGGTCATGTGTCCAATCACAGCTGATCACATGTAAACAGGGAAATGCCGGTTATCGGCATTTCTCTCCTCTCGAGCTGTCAAGCTGACAGCTCGGGAGGAGAGGAGAGCCGGTAATCGGCATTCCGCGGAGGGGACATGTACACTGATCATCAGGGCACTGATGATCAGTGTGCCCTGATGATCAGTGTGGCCCCAGAAGTGCCACCTGTAAGTGTCCATCAGTGCCAGCTGTCAGTGCTGAACAGGGCCACGTGCCAGTGCCCATCAGTGCCACATCTATGTCACATATCAGTGCCTACCAGTGCAAATCAATGCCACGTATCAGTGCCCATCTGAGCTGCCCTTCAGTGTCACCCATCAGTGCCACTCAGTGCCACCTATCAATGGCAATCAGTGCCACTTATCAGTGCTGCCAATCAGTGCCACCTATCAGTGCCAATCAGTGCTGCCTATCAGTGCCAGCCAGTGCCGCCTATCAGTGCACATCAGTGCCACCTATCAGTGCCAGTCAGTGCCTCCTATCAGTGCTAGTCAGTGCCACCTAACAGTGCCAGTCAGTGCCACCTAACAGTGCCGCCTGTCAGTGCCATATATCAGTGCTGCCTTTCAGTGCCCATCAGTGATGCCTGTCAATGCCCATTAGTGCCACCTACCAGTGCCTCCTCATCAGTGCCCATCAGTGCCACCTATCAGTGTCCATCAGTGCATCTTATCAGTGCCCATCACTACAGCCTCATTAGCACACATCAGTGAAGGAGCAAAATCACTTATTTACAAAATTTTTGAACAAAAACTAAGAAAAAACATTTTTTTTCCAAAATTTTCAGTGGTTTTTGGTTTGTTTAAGAAAAAATAAAAAACCCAGAGGTGATTAAATACCACCAAAATAAAGCTCTATCTGTCATAAAAAAAATGATAAAAATTTCATATGGGTACAGTGTTGCACGACCGCGCAATTGTCATTCAAAGTGTGACAGCTCTGAGAGCTGGAAATTGGCGTCGGCAGGAAGGGGGTATAAGTGCCCTGTAGGTAAGCAGTTAAAGTATAGGTCCACTTTGGATTATTTGTACCCTAAAACTCAACTAAAACTTTTTTTTAAAACTGTAATGGAGTCAGAATGGAGAAACACCAATCAATGTAGCCTTCTATTTATTCTTTTTTAGCTGTGCTCTTCTGCTGCAACTAGGGTCAAAATGCTGTGTGCTGGCAGGAGATCTGAACTACTGCTCAATATAGAGCTCAGCAGTCCATGTAAGTCTACAGCAGTCTGACACACCCCCTGCACTGTGCTCCAATCAACTGTTTTCATGCTACCTGAGTAGTACTGTTGATTGGAGCTCTATGCAAGGGGCGTGTCGGACGGCTGGGGACCTGGATCGCTTAGTTTTGCGTTGAGCGGTGATTCTTGCATTGTTGCCAGCACAGAGCAGCATTTCAATCCTAGATGCAACATAATAGTACAGTAAGAACAAAAAATACACTTGTAGGTGGGTGTAGTTTGACCTCCCTGCAATGGTGGTGCTGTTCAGCAGCCAGTGCGCAGGGAGAGCAGAGGACAAACAGGGAATCCCCATTCCTTTGAGACCTCCATGGGTGTCATCAGGGGGGCATCTGTCCGACTGGACACTGCTGCCCTGGCTGACCTCTCCGGCCATCTTTGGGGTGGACAGTGCTGATAAACAGCACTGTCAACCATCAGTTGGCATGCATTTTGGTGAGTGGTTAGTTCAGGGACAGAAACCCCGCTGGTTAGGGACAGATTGGCTAGCATAGGAACAGGTACCTGTGGAGGAGGGACAGATTAGGGGACTGTCACTGTGTCTTGGGCAGCAGCTTTCCCTTATCCAGGTGCCCTGTTGTCAGTCTGCCTTCCAGCCGTCTCCTCTGTTAGAAGCTGTCGGGTGTCAACAGTGCGCATGGATATCTTCTGTATGATTCATTGTAAGTGCTTTAGCCCACTGTATGAAGCCTCTGTTGCACTTCCCAATGCCCTCATGTTAATATACTTTGTGGCAATACTGGAAGAAAGCAAAGAAGGGGCGCACTCTCCTCGTGCATTACCGTGATAAAAAGGAGTTTATTTAAAAAATGACAAAAAATGAATACTCACAAACCAAGATTCATATACAAGCTGGGAACAAATGTGGCAGCCTGTGCAACCAGTATTCTAACAGCAAGGTGTGCTAACGCGTTTCAGGAGATGTACTCCCTTCCTCAGTGCTCTGAGCTCATTTTTTAAATATACTCCTTTTTAACATGGTAATGCATGAGTGTGCCCCTTCTTTGCTTTCTTCCAGTAATATCAAGATTTCCCCGATCTTTAGAGGGCTGCACCTAAGCGAGTGTCTGATACTGTGACCCTGGGATGTTTACGGACTTGAGCGCTTGTATTGTTTTCTCTTTATACTTTGTGGCAATACCTGGTTTCCATGTGAGTTCTCTTCCCCTACAGCAGGGGTGTCAAACTGGTGGCCCTCCAGCTGTTGCTACACTACAAGTCCCATGGGGTATTGCAAGGCTGACAGTTACCAGTATTGCTCCTAAAGGCAGAGGCATCATGGGACTTGTAGTTCTGTAACAGCTGGCGGGCCACCAGTTTGACACCCCTGCCCTACAGCATGGAGAGCTGAGTCCTGCTCACACATTCACATTAATTCTATTTATACAGCTTAACTGCATTACAGTGATAAAAAAATTGAAGTTTCAGTTGGGCATTTAATTTTAGGAATAGGCCCTTTTTAACCATTTCAATACCGGGCAATTTTACACCTTCCTGCTCAGGCCATTTTTCACGTTTCAGCGCTCTCACACTTTGAATGACAATTGCGCGGTCATACAACATTGTACCCAAACTAAAATTTTATCATTTTCTTCACACAACTAGAGCTTTCTTTTGATGGCATTTAATCACCGCTGGGGTTTTTATTTTTTGCTAAATTAACAAAAAAAGACCAAATATTTTGAAAAAAAAAACAAGTTTTTCTTTGTTTCTGTTATAAAAGTTAACAAATAAATAATTGTTCTTCATAAATTTAGGCCAAGATGTATTCTGCTACATGTCTTTGGTGAAAATAACCCAAATTAGGATGTATTATTTAGTTTGTAGGAAAGTTATAGAGTTCACAAACTATGGTATAGATCTGAATATTGATCAATCCTGAAGTACTGACAGCCAATCTAATTTCTTGAGGTCCAAGAATGTCAGAATAGTACAGATATCCCCCAAATGACCCCTTTTTGCAGAGCAGACAGTCCGACATACTTCATAAGAGGAATGGCGAGTTTTTTGAAGTTGTATTTTTTTGTCATAATTTTTCGGAAAATGAAAAAATTTAAAAAATTATTTTCACTATTTTGTTTTTTACATACTGTCACCAGTGCAGTAAATCGTCATCATATAACTGGCATGGCGGTGAACAGGGACACTGACTGGTGACAGTATGAAAAAAAAAAAATATATATATATATATATATATATATTTTTTTTTTTTTTTAATTTTTTTACATTTTTTTATTATTTTTAATTTTTTTATTACATTTTTTAAAAAATTTTTAAAGATTTTTTTTTTTCATATTTTACTATGACCAAAGTAGTACACTGTTACCATAGTAACATTGTACTACTTTGGGGAAGTGATCAGTATTTTTTTTTTTTTTACACAATTTGCTTATAGCAAAGAATTACTTTGCTATAAGCAAGCATTTACCTGAATCAAATCGATTGATTCAGGTTTTTTTTTTTTTTTTCTTTGTGTTTAGCTGTGATTTGGCCACAGCTAATCACATGACATGTGCATGTGACCTTCTGTGACCATTCACAGCTAGGCACTAGTATACAATGGATGGCATGGATGAAGCCATCCATTGTATACAACTGTCATGTGACCTGCTGTGATTGGTCACAGCAGGTCACATGGTACCAGCAACAGGGGCCGATACTCAGATCTGTCATTGGCCGTGTCCGAGGTACACGGCCGGTAACAGATCGCGCCGCTGCGCGGCTCTGCAACCGTGCGAACTGCGCATGTGCGGGAGGACGCCAAATGGCGTGCACCCGGAAAGCTAAAGCATTTTTGCGGCCGCCAAGCGGCTATAGGCTGGGCGGCTAATGGTTAAATAATAGGGTCCTTAACATGACATTCGCAGTCATGCTTTATACACCTTAGTGTCCAATTGCTATCTGACTTCAGAAAAGGACACACACAGCTAAATAAAATAAACGCAATGGGTTCTGGTCTGCAGTAAAATGCTTTCAAATGCTACTGTTTTTCTGTGTTACAATAGAAATAATGGTCTCGAAAACATTTCAAGCAATACTTTTTTATTTTTCTGTAGTACAAAAACATACTGTTGAGAGAAACTTGAAATCCCTATTTGGCATCTAAATCTACTATTATCCTAATGCTTTTGTGTTTCCTGCAAAGCAACACAATTTCTTTTTAATAAAACACTTTTATTATCTGACAATCAAAATGTTTAGAAGCAATCAGTTAAGAGGCACTGCACGGCATCACCATGACAACACAAACTGCAATTTTAAATACACCAAATTCGGTGTCCTTGTTTCTGGGAGCTGGAAAAAAGAGTTCAATTAGCTTGATAGAAATATTTCTTTTTTTCTGCACTCATAGTGTTTGAGTACTGCGTGAAATAATGTATTGCTAGTGATTAATAGCCTTGGGATACTGGAAATAGAGAGATATATGTTATATGGGGGCAATGTGATGTATTATTATCTTGTATCCTTCAGGTTAAGTATTTCTTTACTTTACCTTGTCCTGAAAAGTGCAGCTGTAAATTATATAAGATACAGAATAAAATTCAATATAGATTTGTTGTGTGATACTGAAAATACACTTTTCTCACTTTTTGTTCCTTTTTGTTTTTTGTAGGCACGCAAACCAAAGCCTGATTTATTAAGGTGTCAGTAGAAGGAATAAGAGTTGCCGCCATGAGGCCACCAATTAGATTCAAACCTGTCCTGATACACTGAATCTTATTGGTACGTGTGAGAAGGTAACTCAAGTGTTATAACTGATTTTTATACTTTAGTCCCAAATAGATTTAGTGTACCAATGGACCAAGTTTCATCTGACATTAGTATGAAACACCTTTAACTCTTTAGCTGCCAAAGCCATTTTTTGCATTGTTGTGCACACATTTTTTAAAAAATCACTTTTGCCCTGAAGTTTAGTTAAAACCCCCAAACAATATATATTCTCTAAAAGCAGAGACCCTGAAGAATAAAATGCTCCAGTTTTTTAGTACACAGTATTAAAGTATATGTAAACCCTCACATTGTAAAACAACCCTTTCATTTTAAAATAGAAATGAAAGGCAGAACATTTGTGTATAGATATAAAAAAACATATAAATACCCTTTTTCCCTGTTTTATAAATGATCACATA